AGTGTGATATCTACCGAGCTGAAATTTTGACAGTTAAGTTTTTTGATAACCTGCTCCAGATTTATTGTATTGTTGGGCCTTGAATCAGTAAAAATACATTTTTGGTGTCCATTAGCTTTAAATTGGAAGGCTTCAAAATAGGGGAGTCATTGGTTCAAACATGCAGCTGTCTCTTCATATTTGATGATGAATCAAAACCAATGCTAAAACTCAAAGCCTGTATTTAAGACGTCAACGTTGTTTGTTGGTTGGATTTTGTTGTGATGAAAATTTTAGCAATGGGTTTTGCCCTTCATTGATACAATTTTATAACTTTCTGCTAAGTGCTTAACAGGAGCTTGTGAAAAACATCCCCCCTTCCTCCCCCCCCCCAAAAAAAAGTTAAAACCTGATGGGCCTACTTGAGCTTATCCCTTGTGTTTTGCGATCTTCAAACTAAATGCAATCAGTATTCAGTAATAGCAAAGTTTACCAACAATTGCCAGAATAAACAAGTAAACTTGACAAGATGGCCATTAAATTTACGCCCCCACACCCACTCAGTTCCAGTGAGATCGCAAACTTGAAAAATGACGAAATCTGAAGAGATCTTATGCATTTTTCACTACCTGTAGGTCAAAGTAATCAGTTTCCATGGAATTTAATGGAAAATTCAGGAGGCGGAATTAAGACTTGAAATACCTGGCAGTAACAATAATGGCCTCGACCTGTTCTCGACAGTCGTTGAAAAAAACTGAGGAGACAATGTACTTGTGCCCACTCAGAGGAAAAAAGTTTGCGGGTTGCAAGAAAAGTACATTGCCTCTTGCGTGAAGTGCTCCATTGGAAAATTATTGCAGCACGCTGTGAATGAAAATAAACACAGCGACTGCACGGTCGGGCCGATCGGCCAATAATTCAAAACGAAGTACCGCACCTGTAAACAGTGGTTTCTTCACTGCTGCGTGCGAGGGAGGGCTAAAAGGTGGGGGTCCTCACAATAAAATTCATCACGTAAACCCCGTGATCTTTTGATGGGAAGTTGATGGATACCCTTGGTATTTGGGTTTTCTGGCATTTTTAAACTCTGGACCACGACGTGGATCAGAAAGGGGATTGATCAAGTCATGAAGAGTTAAATGCTTACTAAAAAGTAAAAGAAAATGATTCATGCTAACAAGCACACCAAGATGCATGTAAAGTATTTTTAAAATCAATTCTACTGAGACATTTCAATGCATTGTTACTTTCAAATTCCTTTTTTTTTAGCACAAGTTTGCAATAATTGCTGCAAGTGATCTTGATCTGCACCAGAGAACTTGTCAGATCAGAAACAAAATTTTTAGGTTTTCCATTTCTAAAACCTCAATTACTACCTCCTCTTTGCAAAAATGTTTTCTTTCTGGGGGGTTATACAATCTTGATATGATCAACAGTAGTAATGTCTGCTATTTAAGGATAAGTACAAGTGCTTTATAACAAATGAAACTGGTAGGCACGCAATGTTCTCATTATAGGTAGTGTTTTTGGACTATGGCCAATTCACAATGAATTTGTCCAATAAAGGACGTCCCGCAGTTCAAGTAGCACCCCAATCCCAATGCACAAAACCCCCGAACTATACGTCGGGCAACAGCTGAAGGTGATTTCTAGCGATCTGCAATGACTCAGTGCCCATGTGGACTTCAGATAGGGAGCCCTACTCACTCGCCCTGACTACAGTATAAAATTGTAAAGGTACGGCGAGTACCAAAATAAGAAGTTGGGACACCTGCATAACATTTTCATTATCCAACTGTAGGGCAACCACTATCGCCTGACAGATAACGCCAAGGAGTGTCCCTTATTGTGCTACTTTCGATTAAAGTAAATGTTTTAGACAGGTTGGGCATGATGTTATCAGGCACTAAATATAGCGTGTCAGTAGATTTCCCCGAACGCTGAAGGTATTGGTACCGGTATCTAGGTTTTGGTGTTATATTCCCCCTCCCAGTCCCCAGGCAATATTTGTAATATGGCCCAGCACCACTGGGCAATAAACTAGAGATGCAAGCGTACACATTGACATTCCTGTAAAATATTTCACGTTTTTTGTTTCATGAAAGGTGAGGAGGCATAAATCCCCTTTGACCATTTGTAACGTGTAACCAATTTATGTCTTCATTAGAGGCCCACACACTGCACAAAGAGCAGGCCCAAGATTTGGAACAAGGCCAAGAAATTCAGGATTTAAATTTGATATTCTTTTTCTGATTCCTTTGAAGCTGTATAATTATACGTTATTTACATTAACATTCCCATTCCACAATTGACCTTATTCACGAAGAAGCCATTTTTGATCGTGTTCCCTGAATCTATTTTATAAATAGCAAACTGTTGAGTGGGATGGTGCCAGACCATTTTATGATTTGGAGTGTGTTACAAACCTCACTTTCTATTTTTTATTTAAAAGTGGCTTAAAACATTGGGTATATTTAATCACAAATTTTAAATTATTCATCAGAGCAGACTGGTTCAAATTTGTAATTAACTTTTATTTCATTGCTTCCATCTTCTTGTTCAAAAAAATGACGACTTTATCTCGCTTTCAATTTAATATGGCCGACTCGTGAATAAAGTCTATAACTTGAATCTGCTCAAATCCCACCACCTATAACATCCAATTTTCTTTAAAGTATAGTATGATACATGAATCTTCCATTTAAATGTGGCAAAACTGTTTCCACTGCCGAACCCATGATCTCAAAGCAACTTCTGCAATTGCCTTAAAAAGTCATTTAGACTGTTATCAAATTGTGAAAATTTACCGATTACTTACAATTAACTTGAAACTAACAAATATTTGAAGATAAACTATACTTGAAGATAAACTATTTACTTAACTTATTACCAAGAGAATACTTTTCGAGAGTGAGGCAAACACGATTTCCTTGAGAGAGGAATAACTGTCCAGGATATTATTAGGAAATGAAAGAAAATCATATTTGGCAGCGAATTAGCTTGAACTAATTTCTACAGACCCTAAAGTACGGTATATTCCGTCTAAAGACCAGCCATTGTCAGATCCATTTTCCAATTCATCAGTCTTAAATGAAACGATTGCATTCATATAAAGGCAACTTGTCCAATACGATTCTTCCTGTAGCCAGGCTTAATCCAAGTTTATGACAGTGCAGACATTTTTAAATATAATGAATGGGCTACAGAGCGGGGAAATGAAGTAAAAAGATCAACAGTGGCTTTTAAAGGATTCAAGATTATTAGGTCTTTAGTCCATCAATCAGCATAACTTACTTGATTACATCAATAACTTGGGGCTTAGTCATCGTTTTGTGTCCCAGCTTTCAAGCCGGTGCTCCAAGCATCTTCAACTGATTTAATATCTCATCTTTGCTTAATAAACCCCCAAGCACGGCCGTGATTAATTGGACAGAGATTAGGTCATTAGCATTCATCTTGTATCCCAGACTCCCCGTCTCTTGGAAATTTGTCAGTGTCATTATGACTCTGATGACCCGTTTGTCAATCAGTAATTTTCCTCAGGTGAAGCGGGTCTATATGTATCTGACCTGCTTTTGATGAGAGAAGGTGAGCGTGTGTTTGCAGTGCCTGATTGTGTACACACAAGATGAACCTCCAAGAATTTTAATCTGGGAGGAATTTTCTTGTGGACTCTCGGGAAAAAATTCAAAGTCCACTGCAGTCAAGGCAATTCAACTTCGACTTTTCAAGGAAGACATCCCTGACTATCTCGTCACTTTGAGAGATATTAATTGGCATAGTTTGCGCCGAGCTAAAGGAATTCTAAAGCTTTGCAGGCGAAGCACCGTGACCAAGGATAGAATTATTACAAAAATTTGCGATGAAAAAAAGAAAGGAAGAATACATAGCAGGGTCAAACTCAAAGATATCTCATCTCATCATAATCATGATTAATTCTCATTTTATGCCGAGGTTAAATGAATACTAAAGCTTTGTGAGTCAAGCCCCATGACCAAGGATAGCATTATTACAAAAATTTGCAAATTAATACAAGAAAGGAAGAATAGACAAAATGGAAGAGATATGCACCTTTAGTGTAAAAAGGAATTTACACTAAATCAAGACAAAATGCTCACGGACTAGAAGCACAAAAGAAAGCGCAGGACTTCAACAGTTTTACCAGACAAGTGAATATAAAAATAAAATGGAGTTAACAGATGTCCAAACTTTGATTTCTATTTTAGCGTAGTAGTACTGCACAACATTAATTGTGCTGAAAACATTTGTTATATGGCCAGCCTACCATTGCCTATGAAAAAGACCAACAAATGTGGTAAAAATATATTCTCTAAAAAAAGTCTTCAGGAAAAACAAGTGGAAAGCAACTTTTTGTTTAAAAATCAAAAATATAAAAACCAGAAATCGATCACCACTTTGTGATGACAACTGGCATTTTCAGATCAGAAATGTGAAAATGTGAAAACTGTAAATTTAGGCCCTATTCTCGCCACAAAAAAAAAGAATTCAAGAAACTTTAACTTGAAGAACCCAGCCAGCAAAACTCCAAGATCATAAAGATAAAAATGTGTAAAATTACAGAAATTCCTGAAAGGTGTGAACTTTATAGCTCCAAGGTGTAAAACACATCTTCTTGGAAAGGAAACTACAGTTTTACAGTAGAATCATGAAAATGTAACTTGATCATGAAAAGTGAAAACAACATCATTAGATAAAGTCTATAAAGTTAACTTGAAACTACATTACTTGGAAATCACATTATATTTCTTGATTTCTTCCATAGAATTCACATGATTTAGAAATGACAGGAAACCAGATGGAATAATTTCATAGGGTGTTCAGTACCAGTACGATCTAAGTTTAATTCAAGTAAACTTTTTTGATAATAATTTGGCATGTTTGGTAGGTTGCTTTTGGGATATGCCTTTAGTGTATGCCTTTAATATCATGAATATTATATCAGATGTTCACAGTAAACCCTCTGACACTGTCTGATGTATTTCTCTTATTGAATTAATTACCTTGTTCAGCTTGCACGGGATCCAGACAAACATAGCACACTGTTGCAGCAAACCACGCCAGATAAATATTCACAATCCTTTGTCTTCTGAAAGTTAAATTCCAACTTGCAGTTCTTCCAATTCCATCCATGCTTGCTTGTTACTTGTCCCACAAAACTAACACTTAGCAGGAGATGGACGCACTTGCCCCACGGAGAGGGCAAAAGGCAACTTCGCTTGGTTTCCGAATAAAAGAGCTAGGAAAAAAAAAATAAACGATCCGCAAACAGACCAAATTCCTGCGAATTATCTAACCATAGGTTCAAAAACCACACGTTTGTTCTCTCCGGAGTAACACGTTTTGTCCGCAGAGATAAAAAACGAGGATAAAAGGCATTCACGCACCACAAAGCAGAGTTGTACAAACAAATCTGTAGTGCCAAATTTTTTCCTCTAAAAAGATCACTGTGTTATCAATCCCCGCACTTGCTGTACAGAAAGTTAACTTTTGTGTGTAATCAAAGCGCAAATAGTATCTTTTGTCTGTAAGAGCCAGAGAATACACACGTCTATCTTCACTTCATCCAGGCTTGCACTGTCACCATCCCCTTCACTGGACCGTGGCATACCACATTACCAACTGCATGAACTACTCTCAGTCAATCAAGGACCTGTATTTACTCCAATAGTCCCAGTGCTTATGATGCATGCACTATGTACTGTGCATGCACTACACAACAGTCCCTATACAGAGAGGTGGGAGGGGCTTCTAAAGCTGTCAGTGCTGCCTGTGATTGGCAGGGACAGAGCTAATCCACTGGCCAATCAGGACTTCCTCCTGTGGCAGTAGATGGCCAATCAGATTGGCAAATTGACAAACTTCTCACAGGCATGTTCTACATGTTATAGTACAGTGTTTCCTGAGCTGCGGTGCCATAGACACTGGGCTCCAGTAATATTACCAGCAGACACATGCGGTTGCTGAACTGAACGCTGAGGAAACCAGTGATTTACTGGAACAGATGGAAAAATACTCACCAGCATTCCTGGTAGTTTAATATTATAAATCATCTTGCTGATTGAAATGTACAGTTTATTTGAAACTGTTGCGAAGACTTCCAAAATAGAAACAAGAAACACTTGCTGTTGTCAGAATTTAGTTCAAAACAAAATGAATGTGTGTAGGCCTACCACATCTGTAAGAGTGGAAAAAACAGCAATGTCATGGCAAAAAGTTTAAAGGTATACATGCATGAAAAAACATGCAAAGAAAATTTTGTACAACATTTTCTTTTGCTGTAATTTTCAGAAATGGATGGATTTGGGGGTTAGTATTTTATAGCAAATATTGTAACACTGACCTGTTTAAGTTTTGTGTTCACAATCACAGATGCTGGAAAACCAAGGAAAAATTGCTGTTTTTGTTGTCTGGTTCCCTGACTCTACTTCAGACAAAACAAATAATAATAGTCTCAAGCATCCTGTTAAAATCATGGCACCTATTGTACTGTCATTTTCAAGAAAAGTGGACTTTTTGTATCAATTTCCAACAATGGTCGGCAGACCATTTTTTTTTTTTTAAATGACTTTTTTCAAATACTAGGCCTACTCCACCCCTAATTTACCAAATTCAGTTAGTCCACATTTTGTTTGCAAACGGTTACACATCGTTGTACGGTGCAAGCCAGCATATAATCTGGTCCCCTGACATGGCAATTACCCGACGTCTAATAAATTGCTCCATTTCGTCTGATAGGGTCAGGGAACCAGACTACAAGAACAGCATTAGTTTCTTGGTTTTTCAAGCATCTATGAGCACAAAACTATAAACAGGTCAGTGTAACAATATTTGCTACAAAATACTAACCCCAAATCCATCCATTTCTGAAAATTACAGCAAAAGCAAATGATGCATATTGCCTTTACTCATGGAGCTGTGCTGAAATATAAATCTCACATCAACAACCATCCCAGACAATGTCAAAAATACCCAAAACTTACATGTGCCAACGGTTACCCATTGTGAGATATAATTGGATCTACATGTAATAGCATTCACATGGAGGGACTGATTTTCAAATATAAATAAATGCTGCTATGCCAGGTGATCACACCGTGTGATTATAAATACCAAACATGCGTGATGTGGAGGCGCCCCGCACCAGTCACACTGTTTCATTAATGCGCATCAGCCGACCGTGGAGAAATTTTAAAAAATATCCCATCGTTGGCGAAGTCTGGAATTTTGGTCGGGCAGAACTGATTGAAACTTTAGCACTTTGATCAAATGATTCATAGTCAATTTTTCTTTTTAAACCCGAGAGGCTGGGGAAGTGGATTTTGGGTTTGTAATATTTTCAAACTACAACTATAAATTCAGTGCTTTTTGTTCTGGAAAAAACTGAATTGTGTGACTAACGACAACATGTACGGTAGGCCCTATGTTGTTGCAATAAGTTAAAATAATTATTCTATAAGGTGTCTATATGGGGGGAGCGGGCAAACAATTAAAAATTGACAAAAGATAATTTGAGGGCACGGAAAAAGTTTTAAAATCAGTGTCCAATTCTGACTAAGCAATGCATGATCCGCTTTGTAATTTTAGTATTTTTAACAGACCTTGTCAAAATTGACAAATGACAAGTTGAGGGCACAGAAAAAGTTTCAAACTCAGCTTCCATTTCTGACTTATCAATGGATGATTGTTCTCCTTTAAGTTATTATTTTGTAACATACCTTGTCAAGACTGACAAATGAGACACATGACAAGCTGAGGACACAGAAGAAGTTTCAAAATCTGTTTCTCATTCTGAATTGAAAAAAAAAAATCATTCTGCTTCTTTAAGGATTTTTTTTTACCTTGACAATACCTTGTCCGGGTTGTCCTGAAAACATTACATTTGTTCCTAGTGACACACAAACCGCAGAAATCACAATCAGATCATCCAAAGTTATTTGCGAGGGGACAATTCCGATAAATAGCGTGCTGGTGCAGCAGGGGTCCATTAATCAACACACCTGTTTTGCTGTACTACTGTGACAAATTGACTGGGAATTGATGGTGGGACAGAAAAATGGAGGGATTTGTTTTTGTGAATTGTCGGTGGTGGTGGTGCCTTCTTTGTTGGTGGGAAAGGTCCCAAGTCTTCTTCCTCGGGATTGCCGTAGCAGGAGGGGAAGCCACGGAGAGGTGAGGGTTGGTCACTGGTGGCCCAGACCACAGCTGGTAGCCTGGCAATCCCTGGTGTTCGGTTGATCTTGACGTGGTGGGGACAGATAATTTGAATTAATGACTGCGAAATTGCACACTGTGCTGGAAACAGTGGGGCGAATTACATGTTGGACAAGGAAAAAAGCACTCAAATTCTGTGTCCTGGCCTGCTGCTGATCAAATTGCATTATACAGAGATTTTGGCCAAAGAGTCGGTGAAATATTTGACAAAATACTGCAAAAGTTCAGTGCCTTTAAAAAAAATTTAAGCAGCACGGACTGTCCGATTTCATCCAAGTCCATCTACATTTTCCTTCGCTTCAAGGCTCAACGCAGATTATTGTGTTTCCCATCACAAGTGTCACTTTTCAATACACAACCAGGTAACATAATCAATTGCCAATCATAATTATGATGCCAAATTGCATGGTCTTATGTAGTCTAATCACAGACTCAAAGTCTGATAATAGCCAGCGCTACTTTCATTTTTCAGGGATGCTTGCATCAGCATTCAAAAATGGCAAATTCATGGATACCACACAAAAATTACTTGGCACAGACAATACTTTCTTACCAAAAACAGGATATCAGGTTCTGTTCTGGAATTTCTCAGCTGATTTTATGCTGAGCAAAAAAAATTGCTCTGGAATAAAGTAATTTCATTTTTAAAAATTTATAATTTACTCGTAATGCAGCAAGTCAGTTTCCATTACGGTTTATTGGTGTTTTTTTTAAATGTTACTAAAAAGCAGTATCTTTTCCGAGTGATCCCTGTTTGCTATTTCCCAGGTTTGCAGCAATGCTATTGCTGCTCGTGATTCCTAGCTACCGTACATGGCTTCTGACTAGCCTCCCTTGAACAAAGACACTGACTAATTGTGGAACTGCCAACATAGGGCTGAATAGCTCAGTTGGTAGAGCACTGGAACAGTAATCTGGAGGTCATAGGTTCAGATTGCTCTAGTCAAAGATTCTTTTTTCAACTTTTAAATTATTAATGCACCTACCGGTAGTCAGTTTCCAATTGTGGTTTATTTGAAAAATATAGAATAAGAACAATTAAATTTACTAAGTCATAAATTCAGTTCAATAGTTGCTATTGGGCCTACTGGGTCCAGATTGTGGGCCAGGTTTTTTCTCAGGTCTGGTCTAATTGTCATCACAGAATCCCTTCAATCCCTTATTTGGAATGCAGAGTCCGACAACTGAAAATGGGCCACTTAATTTTCTCAAGGTGACAAACATGTTAATGTCATAATATTTAGCTGGACAACAAAAAAGCTACAGTGAAATCTGGGATCAGAGGATGCCAGATTAATGGGCCTTGGGAAAACAATATCTTCTTTGATTTGAAAGATTCCCTGAAAAGTGCAGTGACCACATAGAGTGAATTGACATTATTGGATGGAACTTGGAGGTACAGGGCTTTACACAAACAGTTTTATCCTTATACCATATTAAAAATGGCTTGAGGCCTTTGAATTTCTTTTTCTTTTCTATTTTAGAGTGTAGACTTATTTTGCTGATAAATGGTAGTTCCACAAGAGCATTACTGTATGCACACACATTTTATCAACTTGCGTGTTTGAGGATCAACAGTTTAAGCTTCGTCAAAGCTTCTCCTATCGACAGCAACATGATCTGAATAGTGTAGTGTTTTCTGAGTTTGTTTCATCATGAGGCAGTGATGAGAATTTTGATTCAGGTTTTGTAAAACTTTCGCTTTTATGGGATATTTATTTTTATTAAATTAAGATTGGGGGCAATGAATGCCTTTATCACTGCCAAAACTTATTATATATGCAGTCTAGGTTTTGTGCAATAGTTTGGGCTAACTGAGGTGATATTGGTAAAAAAAAAAATTAAACAAATAAAGAACACAGAAAAATCAAGGAAATTACAGCAAGGAAATTGTCACGTACAAAACTGTTTATAAAAAATGAAACGGAAACACAAAACAGCACAAATCGTAAGCTTATTAAAGTGCATGTAACTTATTGGAATTATGAAAAAACAGTGTGAAACAGTGAATACCCCAGTGTAATCCTCACTGACACCCCCCCCCCTTCCTTAACAACTTAGACCTGAAAATGTCAACTGCATTTACAGTGCCTAATTATTTTCAAGACTAGTCAATACATAACCGGTAATCCCCCTAATTGGAAACAATTTCAAGAAGCATGGCGCGTACGATCAAAAGCCCTGAAAGTTGACTGTAAAACTCAGGTTAGGTTACCTTCCTGTTGCTGTATACCCATGTCTGAACTGACAAGCTTGATTAGGTAACGGTTATAAAGGCAAACGACAAGTGGAGGAAACAAATTTGATCTCTGTGCTATACGGTCTTCACGAGATGAAATAACAATTTTAGTTCAAGATTAATTTGTTGTTGAGCTCCCAGCGACCTTGGAGCAACAGATGCGGTGGTAGAGAGGGTGCTGAGACTTAGCGGAATAATATTTACGTTTGGGACTAAGGGTGAGCAGTTACGGGT